TTTGTTACTTGCAAAGGGAATGCTAAGTGAAAACAGCCTACTATGGAGATGCAATGCTAAGGCAAACAATGTGTTCATATTCATATGCTCTTAGTAGAAATACTGATTACTCTAGAATAGACAGTCATTGTTAGTGAATGTTTATGGGAAGGTTTGTCTCTCTGACTATGTGTACATAGAGTATATGAATGTGTATACTTGTATGTGTGTGGGTACATGCATTTGTGCATGTGATGAGTCAAGGAAAGGTGTCAAGTGTCCTGCTTTGTCATTCGCTGTCATATCTCCTTGAAGCAGGTTTTCTAACCTAACCTAATCTGGAACTCATCATTTTATCAGATGATACATCTGATCAGTGAGATCCAGTGAACCTTTCATTCTACTCCATAGGCACACCTCTGGAGTTACAGGTCTATGTGGTCACATCTAGCCTTAGATGTGGGTGCTGAGGATCTGAACTCAGGTCTTCATGCTTACTTAGGCAAGACTCTTATCCATGAACCCATCTCTGAAGCCCTAAAAATGTTTCTTAATATTAAGAAATCATAAAGCAAACCTGAACTTACGAGATGAACATTGAATTCAGCCATCACTAGAGACTAATACAGACAACTACAACTGGGCAATGGCAGAGTGGGCAGTCTTGTAGCATTTAATCATAAATGGGATGTCTTCATGAAATCCATCCCCTCACAGCTTAGGGTACTCTTGGCAAAAGGAGAAGGTAAGATCTTAGGAGCCTTTGGGGATGGAGGATACCAAGGAATGACCTTCTGGACACAACAGGACTAATATACATATGAACTCATAGATTTTTTTAAAACGGCCAACCAAAGCAATATGAGCCATCCCACTACAATCATTGAGTTAGTTTCATGTTGACATCTACTGCTAGGTATGGTGCCTACACATAAGTGAGGTTTATATGCCCAGGGAGAAATGTTATCCCCCTTTCCTGGTTTCCTCTCTGCAAACCCCCTATCCCATCTCCCTTTACCCTGCTTCTATGAGGGTGCTTCCCCATCCACCTACCCACTCCCGCTTGCCTCACTACCCTAGCATTCCTCTACACTGGCATCAAGGCTTCACAGTACCAAGTGCCTCCCCTCCCATTGATGTCAGATAAGGTCCCTTCAGCTTCTTCCCCTAACTCCTCCAGACTGGTAGCATGCACAGGGCCTGGACAGGTTCAAGGCAGTTGGGGTACAAGAACTGAGACGAGGAAGTGGACATGAATTCATATCTCTAACTAAAAAGCTTTCTCCAATTGACAACTTCTCACAAAGGAAACATCGGTTTTCTTTGATGGAGTCTCACTGGTTTGCTGTATATTGCTTTTTCTATGTTTAGGTATGGGCCTTGAATTCCTGATCTTTCCAAGATTTTTACCATAAAGGGATGTTGAATTTTGTCAAATGCTTTTCAGCATCGAATCAAATGATCATGTGGTGTTTATCTTTGAGTTTATTTGTGTGGTGGATTACTTTGATGAATTTCCGTATATTGAACCATCCCTGCATCCCTGGGATGAAGCCTACTTCATTGTGGTGGATGATCTTTTTGCTGTGTTCTTGCATTTGGTTTGAGTGTTTTTGCATCAATATTCATAAGGAAAAGTTTTCTGAAGTTCTCCTTCTTTGTTGAGTCTTTGTATGGTTTGGTATGAGCATAACATACTTCACAGAACGAATTGGTTAGTATTCTTTCTGTTTCTATTTTGTGGAATAGTTTGAAGAGTATTGGTATTAGGTCTTCTTTGGAGGTCTGGTAGAATTCTGCACTAAACCCATCTGGTCCTGGGCTTTTTAGGTGGGGAGACTTTTAATGACTGCTGATCTCTTTCCTAGGTTTTCTGTCTCCAGGGTTGTCTCCCTTTGTGATTTCTTTATTGTTTCTATTTTCATTTTTAGATCCTGGATGGTTTGTTGAATTCTTTCACTTGTTTTGTTGTGTTTTCCTGTAATTCTTTAAGGGATTTATGTGTTTTCTCTTTAAGGGCTTCTAGCTGTTTACCTGTGTCCTCCTTTATTTCTTTAAGGGAGTTATGTATGTCCTTCTTAATGTCCTCTATCATCATCATGATATGTGATTTTTAAATGAGAGTCTTGCTTTTCTGTATCCAGGGCTTACTGCAGTGGGAGAACTAGGTTCTGATGATGCCAAGTAGCCTTGATTTCTAATGCTTATGTTTTTGCCCTTGCCTTTTGCTATCTGATTATGTCTGGTGTTTGCTGGTCTTACTGTCTCTAACTGTGGCTTATCCTTCGTGTAAGCCTGTGTGTCAGCACTCCTGGGAGACCAGTTCTCTCCAGAAGGAATTTGTGTATGGAGAGCTGTGGCACAGGGTCAGCTCCGGGGAGCAGACAGAAACTGGAAGGGTCCTATCCCAGGTCGTTACTTGTTTCTGTGTCCTCATGGGTCATGGTGGTCCCCTCTTGGGCCAGGCATTTGAGCAGAAGTGGTGGTCTCACCTATGATTTCAGGTGTGTCAGCACTCCTGGGAGACCAGCTCTCTCCAGGCAGGACCCAGGTATGGAGAGTTGTGGCACAGGGTCAGCTCCAGGCAACAGATAGAAAATGGAAGGATCTTGTCTTGGTTTTTAAAGAGAGAGAAACCAGGTGTATGGAAGGGAACGTTTAATCAGAATGTAGTGTATGAAAAAAATATTTAAAAAAGGATATAAGTTGAAAATTATTTCCACATCTCTAAAATTTCTACCCAAAATAACTTGATATTTTGAGTAGCAGATTTATCTCCCTGTGCTCTTTCTGTTCCTTCTCACCTGGGCTCACTGCTCCCTTATAAAGTTTCTAGACTCCTAATCTGCTTTGGTCTGGTACCTGTTTCTTTGTCCATTCTAAGTAATTGGTCTCAGAAACAATTGCTTTGATTATTGTTCTGGAAGCTCTTGTTGTGACCTTCCTGGGCTTTGTTCTCCATTATCTTTGAGCTAGATCTGCAATTTTGTCCATATGCAGCCCAAACTGCATCTTCTTTGTGAAGGTGATCCATGTATTTAGAGAATGTTCTAGGTGCTGTGTTTTATGCTTTTTGTAATCATATCAGCAACTACCACTACTACTATCTGGAAAATAGTTTGGAGTGTTGTAGCTAGTATGATTCTTGCTGTGCTGAGTTTTAGCTGCACTATACACAGGGACATGGGACTAGGTTACTTATAGAAGGAAAAAAAATCACTTCTTGAGATTTGAACTGTATCTTGTGAGAAGCAGGAATCATGGATGAAGTGTAAAGAAGACATTTCTGTTAGCAATATTTATTATATGCTCATCAGACATAGACTCTGTCTGTGATAACATATGGGTGGCAGTGCAAAAGCCAGGTGTTCTAGATCTAGAATATTGGAGCTTTTGAGACACTGTGCATTTTTATCTTCATATGAATTGATCTCAGTTTCTTATATATTTTTGGTTTTCATTTCTATTCTAATTTCTCTATCTCATTTGCTGTCCAGTTCTCAACTGTACTTATCTTTCTCATTATAGTTCTGTCCCTTGAGCAACATCAGATTTCTTTTATTGACTTGTACTTTGAAAAGCAAACAGAAGGATTTTTACTGCAATTTTACACATATTTTGAGTTATTATTAAACTGATTACCAGGAACTTATAAGTGTTGCTACTTTCCTCCTTGTTGAATGCCCTGGCATTCAAGTTGCTTAAAATCTTCCATCCCCCTGCTTTATAACTTGAGTTTTTTAGATATTGAAACATCAATTATCAAAAGACGTAGAGCAAAGAGAAAGCATTTGAAATTATGACAAGCAGCAATCCAATGCAGGTGGAACTGGACAGGATTTTTATTTGGCAGATATGTAGACAGGACGTTCACAAAGAAGAAAAAGCTCCAGATAGAGTGAGTTCTGCTGCCTTGAGCTTGTACACATTGGTCATCTCATTTCCATGAAATTTTGTTGGGAGATCTTAATCCCACACACGAGGGCTGATGACTACATAGCCATTTATTTCATAGTTCAGAGCCTGCCAATCCACAATATTAGGATTGAGAGGGGAACCATTGTACACAGATAAAATGTCTTTTTGGGTCAGCACATAGTCCCACATGTACAAATCCGCAAACTCTCCCACAAAGGACTGCCTTTTTTCAAACCCTCCTCCATAGGTATCCTGTTCCTGTCCCAGGACAATACTGGGTGGGGCTTTCACAGTGTATCCCCTCTGCAAACCCTTTTTTACCCAAGGCTTTCCATTGACCCAAAATTCAGCAATGCCAGAGGAGGACTCCCAGGTGGTACAGAAGTGTACTGGAGAAAAGTGTTCTTCCATACCACGGACTGTGACTTTTGAATGTCCGATATATAGGCTGTATTCTCCAACTCTTTCTTTATAAATTAGTAGCTCATTGTCTCTGCCCTTCACACTGTAGGAAAAAAGACTGTGAGGGCGGGAAAGGTCACTGTAGGCTCGGAAACAAAGCGTAAAATTCTGCAGAGGTTTCTCTAGACGTGGGGTCAGCTTCACATGATCAGTATCAGATTCTCTGGGGAACACAAATACCTTCCATTTAAGGTCTGTGAGATAAAGTAAGAAATATAATGCATTTCAACAAATTCAGAGAAACAACAGCTCAGATTCAACTTTTCTCATTTTATTTTCCCTGACAGTAGCCTAAACTTCTTACCTGTCTGAGCAAAGGCTTCTGAAAGAAGACTGATGAAGATAGACATCCAAAGCAGCAGCTTGTCCATGCTTGGTCCAGGTTATGACAGCAGCAGCAGTTACTTGGGTATGAGACAAAAGTGTGGTGGCCTCCTATGCTCTTCAGATTTCGAGTTTTGTATGTGCCGTTGATGACAATAAAGGATGGAGAGAAGCAATGTGAGGTACTCCCAGGTCCTCCTTCGTTCTGCCAATAATTAGACCTGTTGTTGGAAAATAAATGATTAGCCCCTTTGCTGGAAAATCAATGGCAGTTATTAATTAGACACAAGCCAGTGCTAGAGCTCTAATCCCTGTGACCCAGATTTCATTGCTGGGAAGAGAAGAGCTGCAGATCTTCATGGTCCTACAGATAGAGTAAGAGGCCAGTTTGGCCACATGAGTTGCTTCATTTAGCAGCTGGGTCTCTTTCTCATGACCCTGTGCTTTGCTAGAATGGGATATGGGAACAGGGTGATTACATACGTACTAAAATTAAGCGAAGTGTCCTCTTCTGTGTAGATCATTCTAGAGTTCTATCTTCTGCCAAGAACCCTATAAAATCTATTTATCTCTTTAATTTTGATTACTCAAATATTGAGTAGCATATCCAGGCATTACTAAGAGCATAGAGACAGCTGAAGTACAAACCTTCTGTTTGCCCTGGAGCATACTAGTTTTCTACAACTATTACTCAGCTGTCCCTTATTTGATGACTCATGGTGCTTTCTCATCTTAAACTTCCTTATTTCTCATTATGACTAATTGTTTTTGGTGATATATACACCTGCTGAAATGTCAGCATCTTCCCGTTTTCCACTCTTTCCTTTGAACCCTTGGAGATTAAGGTATATCTTTGCTGATGACCTCATTGTCGCATTGTGCTCACATTTGTGCACTCATTCCCAGGGTCATTATGTGTGGAGATTGGGTGGGGGCCAACTCTTTTACAGTATCAAAGAATTTCATACCTATTTTCCCTACTGCTAATTTAAAAGTCAACCTTTGTTAGTCATCACTCAAACCTCGGCTTCTAAAACATCTAAGTCATTTTAGTTCCCTTTCTGCTTGCTTGATTTTCTTTCTCACCTTTAAAGTCTATAGAATCTTTGTTATCATTCTTTTTTGTCTAGATTCTTATTCTTTACTTTCTTTCTTCTCAGTTCATCTCGGGTTAGTTAGGCATTTCAGTGACACAATAACTACCATGGTATAATCATTTTCTCCAATTCTGCTCTCATTATCTTTCAAATCCTCATCTCTGGGCATTTTTAAAAAACTTTTATTTTTCTAATCTAAGCTAAATCTTAGGTTGTGAAGCCTTATATACCTTGCAGCATATGGGTGAAGACTACAGTTAGTTGGAATTACACATCCTATTATTTCATGCATTAAATACTGATTCTTCTTCTTGGAAGTCCATATGATCTTCAGTATTGCTCTCCCTTGCCTATAATCTCTGGAGTAAATCCTATTTTCCAACCAAACACCTCTATTTGTTACTCTTTACTTATGACTTACATCCTGACTTTGTTACTTCTATTCATCACCTTGGAATCGTCTATTATCCTTTTCTTTTTATTCAAATCCTAAATCTTCTTCAAAATGAATCTCACAAGAGTTAATGCTTTATAAGACTTTTCTGATGGACCAACTACATGTAATTTTCACTTTTTTGGACTCTTAAAAATATCTTAGTAATTTTTCTATTACTTTGGTAAGACAACACAACCAAAGCAACTGATAGAAGAATTATTTGGGGCTTACAGCCTGCATGGCTGGCTCTGGAGCAGTATCTCACAGCCCCCCGTATTGAGACAAAACCATGAGACAGATAAATAATGGGGAAAGGTTGAAAGTGGCATGAATCTTTTGTGGCCTCAAAGTTCATCCCCAGGAAGGAACTTCCTCCAACAAGGCCATGTCTCCCAATCCTTCTCAAACAGTTCTACAAACTGGAGATATTCAGATATATGAACATTTTAGGGCCATTTTCATTCAAGCCACCACAATAAAGTTAAAATCAAAGACTGTGTGTATACATGTGGATGCCCAAGGTCATTATCATCCTTTATGGATCTGACTTTATTTTTTGAGACAAAATTTCTCAGTAGATCTAGAGCTTGTGGCTTTGGCTAGCTTGGCTGAGCAGAAAACCCTTTATCTTTCATCTAACACAAGTGTCATAGAAGTGTAATGATATGCCTGTCATGCCTAGCCTTTACATGGGTGCTGGGCTTATGAACTCAGGTTCTGGTGCTTGAGCATCAGTCACTTTATCCACTGAACTATCTCCATAGCTCCAGGTTAAGTTTCTTTTCTTTTCATATAGTTTAGTAACAACACAATAGGAACCAAGAGGACCTTTTCTATGAACCCAGGGAATGTATGATTCCAGGTTTATGTGTTAATCAGTGAATACCATAAAATTCAGAGACTAGGTTAAGCAGCTGCATATAGCCTTCATCATAAATGAATAAATTACCATTCTATCAGCAAAATGGTTTCAGATGTCTGTGTAGAATGGAATTTTTTTAATTGATGATGAAAGCCTGGGGAATATATGAGCCAGTCCAAAGATCTTGGAGGAATAGAGATTTTTATTGCTGTTGGGGACAAGTAGCAGCATGTATTATTGAGAATGGGAATATTGTAAAGAGGAAGTCGTGGTTGACAAGTAAGTGTGATCATTATTAAAATGAGAAGAAGGTAGAAAGTGGGTAATTGGGTGTTTTTTTAGTGTCCCCACCATGGAACGATTCTCAGGATTTATAAGAAAACAACCCATGTTTCAGTAATCATCAAGACAGAGACCAAGAAATTTATAACAGAGTTCTGGAGACTCTGAAATCAAGGCATAAAAGAATGAATCCTGAGTCTTCAGACTGAGGGGAGTTTTCACAGAGAAATAATTTATTCTATTGTCCAGAGACTTCGATACCTTCTTGCCAGTGAAAATTCAGGTACAGGCTGTAGTTTCTGTGTGGTTCCAGTGAGGAAGAAAGGGCAACAATATATTGCAAAGAAGCATGGTGATGAGTATGGCCACAGTAGAGGTTCCTGCTTTAATTAGTCAGCATCAAATAGAGTTTACTTTAGAGAGTACAGAAGGCACTGTTTGAACCAAAAGAATAGATACAACAAAGCAGATATGTACGTTGTAATTAAAGATTTCCAAAATGATTCAATGACTTAGGATTCTAGTGTCTTGTGTGATTGTGGCATGCTAAAAACAGAACAACTGTTAGGAAAAACTAGAGACAAAGAGACTGAAGTAGACAAGGGGGAGTACTAAATTATTTCTTACAATTCTTTCCTGTGGGTTCTGGTAGTCACAAGAATCTTTTAAAAACAGCTAGATTAAAAAAAGGCAATTGAAAAGTAAAAGTAGGTAATGTCCACCCCATTATGTGGTTGTATAAAATCAAATGTATAATCATACTTACAGAAAAAGGAAACAAGGAGAAAAAGATAAAACAAAAGTTTGTATGATGTTAACTCAAACTTTATTCTAAACCTTTTATTGCGTACTATCTTCAATCATTTTCTGTTGCTGTAGTGAATGGCATGAACTAGGTAATTTATAATTTAGCATAGTTATAGACTCTCAGCAATCTTAGAACACGGTGCTAGCCTCTGAGAGAGCATTCTTACTGCATTATGACATGGTAAAAGGTAGCAATAGTGAAACAGAGTGAGCATGCTAGATAAAACTTGCTTTTAATAACCAAAGTAGCCAAAGCCAGTAAGCTATAATCTACAAATAACTAATCATTTTCAAGGGTCTCACTGCCTTATGATTTGGGGGGAATAAGTTGGTTAGTTTGGGGGATACATTCAAAATATGGCACAGGCCATTTGGAAAAATACGATGCTACTGCTGTGGATGAGATAGTAGATAGCCCACTGGGAAGAAATAGATGCCATATGTTGGGTCCAAAATGTCAATCCTGAAGTGATACTGTGACTTAAGGGAAAAGGGGTTAGTGAGGAATTTGAAATCTGTGGCTGCCACTTAAGTTTATTTATAAAGACTTCAGAAGAATTATTCTGTAAGTGATGATGAAAGGAGGAATGGTCTCTTATAGGGGAAGAGAGAAAAGAGAAAGGGGCCAAACTGATTTGAGGGAACATTCACTTTTATGTATTTGAATGCAAGAGAAGAGTTGGGATCTGGGAGGACAGTATGTGTAGTGTCATGGAAACCAAGTGAGTGTAAGTTTCCAGAAAGCAGTGTCCAATAGTCTAAGGCATACTAGAGAGATCTAAGTGGAAAGGATGCGGGATTTAGCAATAAAAATGTCATCAGTGACCTTTGCTAGAACAATTTTTATAGAGGAGGCATGGCAGAACTCAACATTAACAGAATGATAGTTGAGAGAGAAAAAGAGATATTTCCTATGTTTCAGTAATTCTGACAAGGGACAAATGAATCAGGTTCTCTCTGGGGAGTCCTCAATCCAGTGTGTGTTTCCCACTTAGATTATGCATTGTCTCTTCCTAACAGAGGGATTTTGTTCTCTTTTTCTCATGCCCTAGTATTTCATCCAGAGATTATGACTGACCTTTCTAGCAAACTGGCTCTTTCAGACTCTAAACACCAGGCCCCAGGAGCCTGGCTGACTTCTGCTTCTTCCCTGTTTTGGCATCCTCACAAACTACCTGTTTACTTTCTATGTCCTATTGATACTTCATTAAGTGGCTATCCGCATACTGGGCTCTATCCTCACGAATGGATTCAGATCACTCTTACCAGAGCAAGTTAGCCATAGAAGTGTGTTTGATCCCTTCTTTTCCCCTCTTATATACTTCTTTTCCATGTGATACCTTTGACGATGATGTAGCAAGATCATCATCACATGTGAAACTCCTTGAACTGAGATTTCTCAGCCTCCATAATTGTGAGACAAATAATCTTCTGTTATTTATAAACTAAGATTTATAAAAGGCAGGACACAAGAGTAACTAGGATACCTGACAGAGAAAATGTCTAGATAGTTAAGCATCCAAGGTGTTGCCATAGCTTCTTTTGTATGTGTATAGTAAAGTAGTAGAAAGGGGATATATTTAAGGATGGAGTCTGTGATTAAGAGGGAACCACATAACCTTTTGGTATAAATTTAGGGAAAGTCTAGGGATTCCATAGCATTTGTGATCAGAATCCTGGTAGAGACACAGACAATGAATGACATTTTGAAGAAGTTTCAGGAGGAATTGAATGTCAAAGAATCTACTGACAGTTGAAGGATGTTAGAGGAGAAAGTCTATTTTCTTTGGGGGCTTGGTCCTTCATAGGTTAACCATAGTTCAGTAGACTGTTCTACAACAATCCATATGTGGCTATCACTAATTGGGCTCAGTGGGCTATAGTAAAAGGA